CCTCTCCCGGGTAACTAGCGGTAGGACGAGCGGCAATGGCCTCAAGCCGGGTCAGGGGAGGTTTAGATTAGATATTGGGAAAAATTTATTTTTGAAAGAGTGGTCAGGCACTGGAACAGGCTGCCCAGGGAAGTGCTGGAGTCACCATCCCTGGAGGTGTTCAAAAAGACGTGTAGATGTGGCACTTCAGGACATGGTTTAGTGGGAATGGTGGTGTTGGGCGGATGGTTGGACTTGGTGATCTTAGAGGTCTTTTCCAACCTATGATTCTATGATTAATGTACTTAGACACATTTGGTAGATAAACACTTTCTTGTCCAAAGTGATTAGTTATACTGGAAATCAATTTTGTCTGAGCCATTAACCCTCCAAAAGAGAGTGATAAAGGTAATGCACAGAAGGGCCAATACATTAGTCAGAATGCTTTGAAACTAATTTGATTTTACAAGCAGGTAAACTCATAGTTTAGCAGAGCTGTTCCGTTTAAAGAAAACAAAACAAAAACACACTTCAGCACGCTTGATTTGAGATGATTTGGAAGACGTGGAAAGATAAGTCTGCATAACAAAAGCTGCCTCTCGTAGCTCTTGGTATTGAGGATTAAGCTGTCTACTGTAGGAGTTTGCTGGGATGCAGCAAGAGGTTCTGTTGTGTTTATCTTCGTGTGTTCTGCCTTCTGAATAGCGTGCAACTATGTGCTTGATCAAATACCATCACACACAAGTGGTAAAAGGAGGAAATATTCTGCTTGCTTTGTTTCTGTTTGCACAGTGCTAAAGTGCATTTAGAACATTGCACAAACATAATAGGGAGAGAGAAAGTGGTGAAGGGCCATATTAAAATCTAACGATCATTATGAAATACCAGTGGGGAAGTCTCTGGCATGCCATCTCGGTAGTGGGACAATAATTAATGCAGCACGGTTGTTTGAATTCTAAAATCACAAGAGTGCGAATTTGAAAGTAGCTTAACTGAGAACACTTCCTCAAATATTGTACTGAAAGTATGGAAAAACAAAGATACTGTTTGAATTATTTGTGCATGGAGAGGCCTGGTGTTTGTAGAAGGACAATGAACTTGTTTTTTTTTGCACGGTTTAGAGACGAACAAAGGCACCGTTGTTTGAGTATGTGGAGGAGACAGTAACGAGTCTCCATGCAGGGCCACGGAGTTTTTCTTGCAGACCCACCTCTGCAATGTTTTCTTCCAGGAGATGGAAACTTGCACTTGAACGTCACAGCGGAGTCGTATAGCCATTCCCTGCTGGATGCCATCGAGCCGTTTGTGTATGAGTGGACTGCAAGATACAACGGCAGCATCAGTGCAGAGCACGGACTGGGCTTCAAGAAAAAGCAGTTCATTCGGTACAGCAAACCCAGTGAGGCAGTCTGTCTAATGCAGCGTTTCAAAGCCATGTTAGACCCCAAAGGGATCCTCAATCCGTACAAGACGCTGCCCTCCAGTTCCTGAGAGCAGCACGCACTGAGAAGCGAGCAGATACCCTCATGCGAGGACGGCATCTCTAGCTCGGTAACTGCACTTTAACCTAAACGAACTGGTGGATCAAGCAAGCGTGTGGAACGGTCCGTGTCTGACTTCCTTACTGTACGAGTAAAGGGACGTGGTTCCTCTTTCCAGAGGTGGCCGCTCTTTCTGAAGAAGAGCACATTACTGGTTTTGACCCTGCGGGTTTCCTATTAAATCCGAACACTGAAACCAAGCGTGCAGATACTGTGTGTGGATATTCCAGCTCTCTTCCCCCTTAGTTTGTTCTGATTTATTAGTGAAGTGACAGCAGCCAGAGGAGACATTTTCTCACTTGGGGTGTGCAAGTGAAGCATCAGAGGCACAGCAGAACCACCTGTGGATACTATACCACCATCTCCAAGTGAAAATGTGGCTCTTGCTCACTTGTTTTGATCTAATATGCTTGTCCAAAAGCCCACAACAGCATCAGTTTATGGGCTTTTCAGTGATGCCACCTGCAGGCTATCCCCAGTAGGCATTGGTGTTGTCCCATGTACAGCACACAGGTACAGGTTGGCAGTCCTGGAAGGACTGGCCAGAGAAGAGAGGGAGCCTGGAGACCTAACTGCTGGGTAGTACACGTTGGAGGGCAAATGCCAGCAGCCAGGCTGAGGGCAGGGATCCCAGGACGTCTGTCTGGCAGGGTCGGGCTTTAGGCATGCTGTTATTTCCTGCTTCCTTGTCTACCAGTTTGTCCTTGACAGCAAGTCCTGATTTGCTCTCGCAGAGAGCAGGAGCCGTTATCTGAATGATTTACAGAGATACATAAAACCTGTTCCCTCCCAACCATCAAATGATTAGGCTGGGTGGAGATAATGACAATGATGTTTAAATTGCCCACAGTTTTTTCTGCACTGTGCATGTGGTGCATTAAAGGCAAAAGAGGTCTCTGTGCCTACCGATACTAATTTATTTTCCCAAGGTGCCCCCTTACCCGAGTGAAGGTGGTTCTGAGTCTCCCAGGCTGGTGGACAGACTGGTGTCTGCATCCAGCGTCCTGCTTGAGTTGGTGAGACCACAGAACGGTTCGGGCAGCTGTCACCCAAAAGAAGCTTGGAACATCTGACAGTAGTCCGGAAAATAAAAGAGTGGGAAAATAAAACCAGCCTGTCTGGCAAAAGATGCTTAAAAAAAGAGACATAAGCAGGAGGGTGAGAGAAAGGAGATGGTCGTGGAGCAAAGTATCGGAAGTCAGCACAAGACCTAATGGAAGAGGAGGGTGATCTTATTTTTGAAGTAGGCTGGTATTACTCGTGTCCACGATCATCACTTTTGCATGCCCTCCCACAAGCATGTGTCACCTGTGCTGTGTGTCCATATGGTCTGGCCAGGGACACTTGTGGAGGATAAGGGACATTTGGGCATGTCTTTTATACCTCTTGGGGGTTACTGATTATTATGGAATGATACTTTTGATTCAGGATCTTGCTTGGTGCTCCACAAATCCCGAGCACTGTCTCTGTTTCCTCAGTTTTGAGTATTTTTTTAGTAAAGGTTTTTGTAAGGCTTTTGATAGTGTCCGTCACAGCATCCTGGACAAGTCCAGCTGTGATACGAGCGAGTTCACAGTGCACCGGGTGAAGAACTGGCTGAAGGGCAGAGCTCCAAGGGTTGCAGTGAATGGGGCTACATCTGGCTGGCGACCGGTCACCAGCGGTGTTCCTCAGGGCTCGGTCCTAGGCCCGGTGCTGTTCAATAGATTTACCAACGATCTGGACGCAGGAGTTGAATGCACCGTTAGCAAGTTTGCTGATGATCCTAAACTGGGAGACACTGTTGACTCTCTCGAGGGACAGGAGGCCTTGCAGAGGGATCTGGATAGGTTGGAGCATCAGGCAATCATCAATGGCATGGAATTTAACAAGTGCAAGTACAGGATTCTGCACCTGGGACAGAGTAACACTGAGCACGAGAACAGCCTGGGAGAGAAGTGGCTGGAGATCAACCCTGCAGAAAGGGATCTGGGGGTGCTGGGTGGCAGCAGGCTCCACAGGAGCCAGCAGCGTGCCCTGGCAGCCCAGAGGGCAGACCCCACCCCGGGGTGCATCAGACACAGCCCGACCAGCCGGGCAGGAGAGGGGGCTGTCCCGCTGCGTTCAGCGTCGCTGCAGCCTCACCCTGAGTGCTGTCTGCAGCTCTGGGCCCCACCATTTAAGGATGATGCTAAGGTGTTTGAATGTGTCCGGAGAAGAGCAACAAAGCTGGTGCAGGGCTGGAAGAAATGTCTGATGAGGAGCGGCTGAGGACTCTGGGTTTGTCTAGTTTGGAGAAAAGGAGGCTGAGGGGCAGCCTCATGGCTCTCTACAGCTTCCTGAGGAGGGGACGCAGAGGGAGGTGCTGAGCTCTTCTCCCTGGGGGCCAGGGACAGGACATGTGGGAATGGCTCAGAGCTGTGCTGGAGGAGGCTCAGACTGGACATTATGAAGCCTTCCTTTACCCAGAGGGTGGTCAGACACGGGAACAGGCTTCCTTGAGAGGTGATCAATGCCCCAAGCCTGTCAGTGTTTAAGATCATTTGGACAATGCCCTTAACAACACGCTTCAACTTCCGATCAGCCCCGAAGTGGGCAGGCAGTTGGACTAGATGATCAGTGTAGGGCCCTTCCAACTAGACTATTCTAATCTGAGTTTTTTTGTTGTTTAGGGTTTTTTTTGCTTTGGTCTGTCTGTTTTGAGATGACAGGAGAGATTGTCATTTACAGTCTGGTGTACAAAAACACATTGTCACCCTTCTGTTAGCAGAGGGCAAGCCAAGCCATCTGCCAGTGAGTCATCTTCCGGTCTGCTCCGTCTTTGCCAGGCACATCCGTGTTTACCAATGCGTCACTCTCGTAACCCGGGCTCTGTTGTGTCCAAAAGAAGCAGGTGGCTGGCAACAGCCAACGGGGATTTGCCAAAGGTAAATCGTGTCACACTAACCTGACCACCTTCTACAACAAAATAACTTTTTCTGTCGACCTGGGGGGAGCAGTGGATGTTGTTTGCCTGGATGCCAGCAAAGTGTTCGGCATTGTTTCCCACAGCCTTCTCCTGGAGAAGCTGGCAATGCACAGACCAGACGGACGGTCTGCAAGATGAGTGGGAAACTGGCTCTCAGGCTGTGCTTAGAGGGAGGTGACCAATGGTTTTTATTCAGGTCTGCTGGTTTGGGAGGCCTCGCTGGACTCCGTGAGACTAGGAAAGCTGGTTGTCTTATCCAGTACGTGTCTTCTCCAAGAACTGCTTTTCAGTGGTTTCTGCTCTTCCACAGTGCAGTGAAATGAATGTTCCGTCCAGGGCTGTTTTCTTGGAAGAAAATCATCCTACAGAGTCTTTTTTTCTTCTGTTTTTAACCAGGACACAGCCTTTACAAGGTTGCAAGCTGTTGAATTGTTAAGGATGATAGCTTACGCTCACACCTGTGTTGCGACACCCTTCATGATACAATTCTAAGGTCATGACTCTCAGCTTGGCTGCATGGGTGCTTTTAACAGAAATACCTTCATCCGTTACGTGACCTGCAGTGCCAGTATCTGGGCCTGCCCCCTGGTCTCTTCAACTCCCTCTTTCTCTCCGCTTTCGGTGGACTCCCCACCTCTCCCTTCGTTCCTCAGGGCTGCTCAGAAAGGAGTTGATCATCTTCTGGGGTTAAGCAGAGTGAATGTTCTGTCACTAGCAAAGAGGAAACAGAATGTGAAATGCAGTCAGCCTGTGCTGCTTGTTATCAGGTGATGCAAAAATACAGAAAGTCCACGATGTTGTTAGAGAAGAAATACACAGGATTTGCTTTTTGCCAAGTTGAGCTGATGCAGCTCATTCTTTCCGGATCAGGCTGTTTATATTCTCTGCCTTTTTCCTATGCCATTCTTTCTCTTTTTTTCCCCCCAAACTACTGACCATAATTGTTTAAAATACAGGCTTTGCATGTGAATGGCTCTTTTTGGGAAGCGGAACTTTCCATACTGCTTCTTTTCAGCTACATATGGAGAGAGTGCTAGGGAGGGAGTCAGGGCTGGCAGATAACCTAGTGCCGTGGCCAGGGAAATTCTGGGACAGCTACATTTAGCCGTCTTCTTTACACATGAAGATTCTTAAGCTCAATGTAAGTTTACTGTTTCAGCTAAACAATATAGCACTTACCCTGAGGGAAAAGAAGGAAGGAGTTATTGTAGGGTTATTTTATAGTATCTTTCCTAGACCTTAAACACCAGTATTATTATCCTTCTCTTCTGTATTCTCAATGAAGCTTTCACATGTTGGTTCACAGCTGTGTATAGGACGGGGAGAGGCAGGGTGGGTACATGTATGGGGTGGGGTGGTAGGAATTTCTTGTCCAAGATTCTGTTTTTTCTGGGACAAACTGAAGTATTAGAACGATGTGGATGTTGATGCTCAACGCTTTGAAGCGATGAGGAAGCACTTGACTCTCTGTTCTGGTTTTGGCTGGGATAGAGTTAATTTTCTTCCCAGTAGCTGGTATGGCACTGTGTTTTGGATCTGTGACCAGTGTTGACAGCACAGGGCTGTTGTAGCTGTTGCTGAGCAGCGTCAAGGTCTTTTGTGCTTCTCAGCCTGTCCCACCAGCGGGTAGGCTGGGGTTGTGCAAGAAGCGGGGAGGGGACGCAGCTGGGACAACCGACTCCAACTGCCGTACGGGATACCCCACTCCGTGTGACGCTGTACTGGTGGGCAGTAGAAGCTGGGGGAAGGAGGAGGAAGGAGGGTGTTCAGAGTTACAGCGTCTGTTTTCCCAAGTCATTGTTGTGCGTGATAGAGCCCTGCTTTCCTGGGGATGGCTGAATGCCTGCCTGCAGTGGGAGGGAGGGAGCGAATTCCTTTTGCTTTGCACACACAGCTTTTGCTTTACCTGTTAAACTGCCTTTACGGGAACCTGCGAGTTTTTGCACTTTTACCCTTCCGATTCTCCTCCCCATCCTGCTGCGGGGACGCGAGCCGAGCAGCTG